ACGAAACTTCCTTGCACCGGCCCTGCTTACCCCTCAGCGCTCGTGCTTCCGGGTAACCTGCACCATGAGCCTGCAGCAAGGAGCCATGTGGGCGCAGGGGTTTCTGTCCCTTTCTGCTCCTGGGGGATCATCTGTGTCGTTACAGACAGACTTGCTGACAGGGATTTTGCAATAAATTACCAAAATAGTTGAAAGTCAGGGGATGATATGGGATTATTCTGACAAAATGCACAGTGGGTTACAACGTTGTCCGCAGAACTTTTTGGATTTTTGGCGCAGAATTCCCCCCGGAGTAGGGAGCCTGGCACCATCTCCCCGAGCTGCCCCAGCAGCGTTCTCTGCGGTTGCGTCCAGCCCTGGATCTCAAAGCAATTAACACAGGTTAATTTTGGACCCTGACAAACCTTTCCATCCCTGGGGAAACCTTTCCAACCCTATGTGACGAACTGGGACTGTTCTTACTGTGGTCTTTGAATGCTGACGGGGAGTGTGGCTAGGATAGTCTGCATTGGGGGATGGGAGACGGAGAATACCTGAGCATGTAACATGAGAACCCAGGAAGGGGTTAGAGGCCAGGTGACACCTTTGCCCGGGAAACTGAACAAAGGCTGGAGAGAGAGTTCAGGGCTGGCTGGTGACATGGCTGGGAGGCAGACGGGGCGCTGACCTCCCAAGGGGGCTGTGGTGCCCTGGGACCCCAAAATGGACCTAACTGAGGGGGTCCTGTTGTCTGTGCCTGTCTTGGACTGTATTCCTGTCGTCTAAATAAACCTTCTGCTTTACTGGCTGGCTGAGAGTCATAGTGAATCGCAGGAAGCCGGGGGTGCAGGGCCTTGTGTCCCCCCACACTCCGTGACACCCTATTATACAGGGAGGGAAACTGAGGCAGAAAGAGGGGAAATCTGTGCAGGACAGCTGGGGATAGAACCCAGTAGCCCTGAGTCCTAGAGCCCCCCTGCTCTAACCATTAGACTCTTTTCCCCTCCCAGAACTGGGATAGACCCCAGGAGTCCTGGCTCCCAGCCCCCCTGCTCTAACCACTAAACCGCACTCTCCTCCCAGAGCCAGGGATAGACCCCAGGAGTCCTGGCTTCCAGCCCCCCTGCTCTAACCTACTAGACCCCACTCCCTCCCAGAGCTGAGGAGAGAACCCAGGAGTTCTGGCTCCCAGGCGCCCCTGCCCTCACCCAATTGACCTGTGAAATCCCGGGTGTGGCCAATTCTCCAGTCCCCACCCACCTGCCCCATGGTTATACCAGGCCCACAGGTGTGTTGGGATGAGGGTATCTGATACCAGAACCCCATATCCCATAGAAGGACCCTGAGCAGGGGAAGGGGACGGGGCTCTTTGGGTGCAGGGTGGCTGACCTAGTGAAATGGGCTTTAAACACTGTTCAGTGCCCAGAGGCCAGACATCCCAGTGAATAACCCCAGTTACGACAGAAGGTGCATCTCAATGACTTGACAGGTTAAGTCCCATGACTGCAATATTGGTACAGAAGGGTAAAGTTTACACCGGGAAAAGGGGAGGAGCGGTTGCCTTGTATAGCAAAGGTGTCTGCACCTGCTCTGAGGCTGAGATGGGGATAGGAGACAGACTTCTTGAAAGTCTCTGGTTAGGGATAAAAGGGGTAAAAACCGGGGGGCGCCATGGTAGGGTCGGCTCCAGACCAGCTAACCGGGAAGAAGAGGTGGAGGACGCTTTTCTTAAACAACTCACAAAATCATCCACAGCCCAGGACGTGGTGATGCCGGCGGATTTCAACCACTCAGAGGTCGGTTGGGAAAATAACCCAGCCGGGCACAGATCTTGGAATGCAGTGGAGACAGCTTTGGTGAAAGCCGCGAGGGGGAGGCGGTTCTGGATTTGGTTGTGCCCCAAAGGGAGGCACTGGTTGAGACGCTGAAGGTGGAAGGCAGCTTGGGTGAAAGGGATCGGGAAATGACAGCGCTCGCGCTGCTACGGAAACAGCAGAGATCAGCCGGTGGATGGGACAGGCCCGTTACTCAGTGAGGAGGAAAAGCCAGTAACAGAAAACGAAGCGATGGCTGAAGTGTTAAATGCCCTTTTTGTTTCTGTTTTCATCAGCCGACTACCATAGTGAATGTCAGCGGACACGGGGCAGGACCCAAGGCTACAATAGGAAAAGAGTGAGTTAAGAATGACTTAGCTAAGTTCCATGTCTTCAAGTCGGCAGGGCCTGATGAAATCCGTGCTCGGGTACGTAAGGAACCGGCTGAAGCGATCGCTGAGTCGCTAGCGATTCTCTGTGAGAACTCCTGCGGCACGGGAGAGGTCCCAGAGGACTGGAAAAGGGCAAATATTTTACCTGGCTACGAAAAGGGGAATGAGTACAACCCAGGGAATTACAGACCAGGCAGCTTCACTTCGGTACCCGGAAAGATACCGGAGCAAATGATCACACAGTCCGTTTGTGTGCACCTAGAAAATAATAAGGAGATAAGTAACACTCAGCGTGGATTTGTCAGGAACAAATCGTGTCAAGCCAACCTCAAATCCTTCTTTGACAGGGTCACAGGCCTGGCGGATGTGGGGGAAGTGGTAGACGTGGTATATCTTGACATGAGTAAGGCTTTTGATGCCGTCTCACATGACCGTCTCATACACAAATCAGAGAAATCCATCCTAGACAAACCTCCTCTAAGCCGGGTGCACAAGTGGTTGGAAAACCGCTCACAGGGAGCAGTGATCAGTGGTTCGCAGTCAGGTTGGAAGGACCCCTCGAGTGGATCTGGATCCCTTGGAGGGATCTGTTCTGGGTCCGGTTCTGTTCAGTGATTTGGATAATGGCACGGAGAACGCACTCTTAAAGTCTGAGGACAATACCAAGCTGGGAGGGGTTGCAAGCTGT